GGGCCACGGTGCCAAAATGACAGGGCAGGGCAGGACACAAATTATTTGAAAATGATTTTGTTCTGTCAGGGCAGGGCGAGTTACGATAAAAAGCAGGGCAGGGCAGGGCAATAAAATTGGCCCTGTGGACACCTCTGCGACATCATTTGACATGCGAATATTTTATCGGCACAATTCTTGTCCATGTGAAGAGAAATTTCTATTTCTATTTCTATATCATAGTAATTCTTTAATATTAAGAAAATGATTTTGAGTACCAACCTTTCAATAATTTCTGGCGTTCCGGTACAGCGCAAGCCTTATCATCAGTAACATGACATTTTTGTTGCTCTATATCTTGATCTTTTGACTGAAATAACGTGGTGTTTGTATCCAACGATTCTTCATGTGTTCGATTTGAATCGGGTTTGGACAGATCAAGTGAACCATGTGCTACACCAATAGTAAGATAAGGATACATATTATATTGTGCTCTTCTACTCTATATTTGAAGGATTTCTATCATCAATGTATCGCTATATCTGTTTGTGTGATAAGGAGAAAAAAAAATAAAAGGTAAAAACAAAAGAAGATACTGACAATTGGTAAACAATAAAAGATGATAGAATACATGGCTTTACATCTTTGAAATTGATGGTATAGATCTAAAAAAATTAACCATTACAACTTGTAACTGTTCAACAAAATGTTAGCAAGATTTTCTATATAGATTAAGCCTCATCTCGTAAGATAAGATTTAACTGATCAAAAACAAATGATATTTATACTACCGAATATTCTAGACATGTTTAACTTTTACGTGAAGATAAGACTCTATTGATATACATACTCATCATAGTGTCCTGCAAGCGAACGACGAATAAAATTATCTGGTTTTATTTCGCATTCAAATATTTAAAAAAGTACTGAGTCGAATTTCAATTGCGAAAAGTCGTACTGATTCAGGACACTAATCTAAAACTATAGTGAAGCTTATAAATTTCACTACAAGAGACCCAGTTTTAATATAGAAAAGTCATCAGACCAATATGCAGAGATTATGGACGGTGTTATTTCACATTATTAAAAAAAACTTCTACTCGTTGCAGTGACTCAGTTGTGTGGGTGATATTTTGATCGATATATCATTCAAAGGCATACAAAGGAACGAGAGTATCAACATTCTAGTTCTTCGAAAATTCTCTTGACTTTCAAATTTAGTCTTAGTCTATTCGTCTTTATGACATAGAATTTATTTATTAGCTTAATACAAAATGTTCTCATCTATTTAATTATATATGATGCTCGACTATCGGTGCATATATTTTTCATGTACTCTAACGCACGCACTTATACTTCCATACTTCCATACGCTTTCAACCAATTGTCTGATGGCTCAGATTAAGAAAAGATGCTTAACTCATAAGTTGACTACTATTTATTATTTTTCAATAATAATTTAACAAAATTTCTATCTTTTATCAATTTTCAAATGGGTGTTGACATATCGAAAATACATATCAAATATTATTTTAAATTAATGCTTCACACTTCATAATTTGCATCGTCGTATATTTCATCAACCTGTGTAGTATTCAACCGTTTATCCCTCTTGCCTACAACAAAAACAAGAATCGTCATCAAAAACATCTCTTTCGAATGGCATCCTATCTGCCTCGATTTGATAACAGGTAAAGCGGTTGTATTTTGTCTTCTATCTTACTTCACGATTGCATTCACTATCAAAACTTACTAGTGACAAACACTATGAGTAGTTTGAAGCGAGAAAGTCAAACTTGTTCGGCATGCGGTATAACAGCTGGTATATTTGTATGTCGTGGCTGTTTAAAATCATTTTGCCTACATCACACTAATGAACATAGAAACTCCATTGAACAACAAATGGAAACAATACTTTTTAATCATGAGCGTTTAAGACAATTTGTAGCTAGTGAGGAAGTAGAAGAATACTTTCAACAATTGCACGGGCATGTGAGTCAATGGGAAACACAATCAATTAATAAAATTCGTGACACTGCTAATGATATTCGTCAGCAATTAAAATTTATTAATCAAAGATATCACGATAGTACCGACGACCAATTAAGACAACTTAAACAACAAATAAGAAACGCACAAAATGATGGAAATTTCTTTGAAAATGATCTTAAAATGTGGCAAACTGAAATTCAAAAATTACAATCGACGATTTCTGAACAAGAAAATCTTCAGATTTCTCTAGCTAATAATTCAGAATCATTTATTTCGAGAATTAAACTTACTGATAAAACAGATTATGATGGAACAATAGCAATTGATTACTTCGAATGTAACAGAAAACATGTGAATTCTGAAGATTTCACAAATTTGAATTTAAAAGGCGAATATTCATCGGGCAATAAATTATTTCGTTTCAAACTTGATGATTTGGAACAAAATACTTTAGTTTTAATGGGAATTATATCTGCAAGTAGAGCAAAAAATGTTGATCCGTATAAGAATCCAACATTTTATGGTTGGTCAACGAAAAATCTTGTTTATCTACATGGTGTTCCTCATTCCAATATTGATAATTATCAAAGTGATATCGATGGAAATGATATATTTCAATTAATTCTTGATTGTGAACGTCAAACTATTCGATTAATAAATGAACGAACACATAGGAAATATGAATTAAATATAGATATTAGTAAATGTCCTTTTCCATGGCAGCCGCATGTTCGTATTTTAAGTAGTCTCTAATGAAATATTTGAATCTAATTTACTTATTTGAAATAGAATAAAATTGCTTAAATTTTTTCAACATCGTTTATGTCTATTTTAATATCACATGTGAATTTAGAAAAAAATTTTTGATTTTTTTCGTATTTGTAATTCGAAGAAATTAAAAAATAAATATTTCGAGTAGTTTATATATTTTTCCATTCTTATCACGCACATACACATATATACGATATAAGATGTTGGACACATCCAACTTGTTATGATATTGATGTTATCAGTAAACAAATATGCCTGTCGAGTGTAGGAAAAATCACAGCAGGTCAGTCGTGTGCAAAGATGTTTATTGAAATAGAGTGATCATATACAATCATAAAAGTTAAATTAATCTATCACAGTATACTTACTGTCTTTAGTCAAACGATTACAAGCTATATTTGTGGTTCCTATTATTAAGTTTAATTGAATTTTACTAGGGCTGATTGGATTTATTTAAATAGCCAAAGTAATCGATATTTGCTAGCCTTAAATCTTGTGCAAAACTAGACTATACTTTCTATATATGATAAGAATAGTTAAATAATGATTCTTTCGATCAATTCTCAGTCAAAAACAAGCGAAATGCATATAGATTTGTATTAAAATCTACCGCAAAAGAATCATAATTTTGACAGACAAAACCAAATATACAAAGATAAAGTGATTCGTTTTCATTTCACCAGAATTCCGACAGGCTCATATGTCCTATAGTAAGCGTCTTGAAAAGAAATTCTTTCGTCGAGTACAATCTCATTTTTCATAGCGAATCTTACTCATGATAAACATCAATGGTGTGCTTCTTGTAGAAAATTATTATTTCATATGAACAATATTTTTGTGCAAACAAAAAGCTAAATCTATTTAGATTTGTTTTTGTTACCTGAAAACTTTATTTAAACTGGAATAAAAAGAATAAGATCATAATCTTTGATTAATAATGATAATATCACTACTTAATTGAAAACATAGAGAGTTTTAATATAATATTTGTGTTGTATAGAATTACTTAATTGAACAATAAGAATGTTGATCTAAAAATCTGATGATGTTTGCTGCAGTTTCCTCTGATTTATCATAAGATATAAAATGACCACAATCATCAAAAATGATCAGTTCTACATCAGTAATTAATTTAGAAAAATATTCAGCACTTTCCACTACACATATCTAAATCGCATCATAATTACTAGTAAAAATCTAAAATAATTGTTATCAAAAACACATACTTGATCTTGACGACCCCATATGATTAATACTGGATATTTAATATTTTGTAATTTTTCATAATATTCTTCAAGATTAAGATATTCATATGAAAGAAATGATCGCAAGACTAATAATCAAAAGAATTTTAAAATTAAAGGTTAATATCTATTTACTTTCTTTTTGTTCCTCTAATAGTCGTAATCTTGATTTAAAATATTTCTTCACAAAAACATCTGGCAGATTAGTTTTCTTTACTGTCAATTTCTCAGCCATAGTATAAAATTGTTCAGATGTTTCTGGTAAAAGTATATAATGTTTTCCTGAACATAATTCTTTTATTAAATCACTTTCATATTCTCGTACAGCTAGAAAATGAATCGAAAAAAATGCAAACAATCAAAAGATATAATTCAATAGAACTTACGAACTGGTGCAAGTAAACAAATCATGTCAACATATTCGGGATATTTAGTTGCAAATATAGCAACAAATGTTGCGCCCATTGATGCACCAATGATATACAGAGATTTAGTTAAATTCATTTGGTCAAAAAACTAGAAAATCAATTTGATAATATTTTTGTTTTAAATTAAAAATCGTTCAATACTAATTTAATTTTATCAATAAAAGTATCAATAGTATGATTGTCTTCTTTGTGTTCAACAGTTTCTCCATGACGTGGAAGATCAATTATAATACAATGGTACCCATCAGGAATATACTATAAATGAATTAAAATGTTCAATATGACCAAAATAAAGATCGAGAGAATCAACCGGAAATTCAGTCTCAAAACCTTATGTTACTCCCTTAAAAAATAAATATTAACAAACTTGCAAAAGAGATAGCCATGATTCTTTGTTCGATGAAAATCCATGAATAAAAATCATGCTTGATTGCCCGGGAACTTGTTTACCTTTTTCGTAATAACTAAATATTATCTTTTTATCATTATCAATTGTTAATGAATGTTTTTTAACACCAGCTGCAGCTGCTGTTATTCTGAAAAAGATAACAATTAAAATAAATACAATTGATGAACATACTTACTCATAGTACAGATCAAGAAGCCAATCGTATTCCAATATTTTCATTGTATAGACTTGCTTAGTAGAATAAGAAAAAGGTTTTAATGACGATGGCCATGTTCTTTTTATTTTCATACTTCATTAGATGAAAAAAACTCCGTCATGCATCACTTGTTACTCTAAATAGTACATCGTGCATGATTCTTCGTTGTACTAAAATTGCTAACAGATGTAAAATACGATTGAATTTAATCGAAATTTGGAGCGTGCTTATGGATTCATTATTCGTTTTCTGTATATTGGTTGGATAAAAACAAATTATAAGAATTAAAAATTGATATTTCTGATGTTGATTGCACTGTTACTGTTCGTGAAGATCTATCCAGAATGTTTGCTGTTCAAGAAGAAGTGGAACGATCGAAATTAGGTAAAGCTGGCTTGTGTTGTCAGGCTATTTTTTAGATCATTTTAAACATGGGTACAGTTATGAAGTAACTATCCTCATACTACAGATGATCGAATATGGTATATATTATCGTTGTGTAATTATGATATTGGAAATATTTTGACTCGTGCGATCATATAAAATTTTGTTTAAGGAAATTTCAAACATTCGTTAAAATACTGATTTGTCATAGAAATCAAGTCGCCACTGACTTCTTTATTTATCTTGAATTTTAATGGACACATATTTTATCGACTGATAATCTTCTAATTAGTACATTAGATCAGTGTTCGATAGAGTAGCTGTTTCAGTTACCTTGTTACTTGTGTCTCTTGAAATCTGATTTTATTATCCTACCCCAAAACCATGCCACTTCATGGGTAGTTACTAAAGGCTTAATGAAGCTCTATTGCATTCTATAAAAAAAAAAAGATTTTCAATTGATACAAATGCTCTAGAGCTACCGATGGATCTTTTGACCTACTGTTAGTATAGTTTCTATATGGATAGTCTGCAATCAGCTTCATGCTAATGTTTTACATATGATCAGTCATCCATCGGTGATTCAATTCAATAGTAAGTGTAACAATAATTGAATCATTTGCGAGAAATATTTATTAGCAGAAAAATACGTGTCAAATGAATATCAAGGTCAATTGAAGTAAATTGTTTCACCAAATAAAAATCTAAATTAATCGTTTAAAATCGTATAAATATATCTTTAACTTTAGAGTGATGTTTTTTTTTCGATTTTCATACATGAGTAATACCAAAGCTATATTAAAAAAGCTTTCTGGCAAAGAACATTTCGAACTAGAATAGTGTATTCTACTTCATAGTCGTCATCCCTAGAGAAACTGCGTCCTGGAAACATACAGTTCACGACAATAGAAGAAAATTCAGAAATCGCCGTTGCTCTGCACATGATTACTCTTACCCACGATGTAAACTTGTTTTAAGTCATACGTTTCTTCATTCAACCATGACAATGTAATACATAAATCGTTGTCTACTCGCTTTCTGCCAGTTCTTTTGTTTCCTTCTTTACCGACATCACTGAATTTTGTGCACAGGGTCGTAACAATTATTTTGTTTCATATTTGTTACTTATTCTTTTATCTTTTGTCTTTTATCATTATCTTCTGATAACTTGTACGCTTATCCAGTAGTTTTTCTATTGCCCATCTTGATTATCAAAATCATATATAAGAAAGAAACAAAGTCTCCGTGGGCATAATTTTAGGACATTTCTAGTATTCTATTCTTTTTGGCTCAGTGATTTTCTTAACAGAGCCAAGTCATACATCAATCGATGTAGAATGCTTGTGCTCTACATTTTGAACAAAAACTTTATCATTCTTAATCAAAGCAGAGTTTCAGAATTCACTTCTGATCGATCACAACTAATTATTCTGTAAAAAAACGAGTTGGGCGATACATCTGAAAGTAAACCAACACAAAATATGGAGCATCAACAAATGAACAAAATCATTTATTTAATTGTGACAAAAATGTTCTATTCAAGGGGGATTTTGATTGCAAGTAGTCATCAATCTACGAAATGAACTTTTTTTAAAATCATGTGCATATTTATAGGGCACGCTAACGATACATGTCCCGATAGAATGGCACGATGAACTTAAGTGTAGTGATAAGTGATGTTCCAGTGAAGTTTCTGTACGGTACGCATTGAAATATATGTCGGGAGCGTGTCTTGAATACATACCAATATGATACGGGTGAAACGATAGGAAGAGAGAAAATATGGTTTTTCTATTTTCATTTTTCTCTCACAAAATAAAAAGTTCTTGTTCAAACTGACGCGGGAGAAAAGAAAATAAATGACGTCTACATAAATACGCCTTGTTTCTTAGAAAATTTATTTTACACTTATATTCATTCGCTTAATTGTACAAATAATACATAATAAATGAGTTTTTCCTTTTTTTTCTAGATTTTTCTATTGTACAGGAGGGCATTTTTTTGTTCTCATAATTCTTTAATTCTTTTTGTACAGACATTCTTATTTTTAATTTTTGATTTTATGAATAACAATTGACTTTCGTTACATGCTCGTCTCTTGACTCAAAGCAAAGGATAATTGGTAACACAACCTATATAGAGACACATGCATCAGTAATATGTCCTATGAACATGGATAAGTCAAGTTTCGGAGTTTTAAGTTATACCTAATTTATTGAGAATTGGTATCTCTACAACATAGGACCCTACACACTTCTCTATGATATCTATCAGAAAACTGTTCAGAACCTATAGCTACTGTGTCGGTTCAAAAAGAGAACCAATGAAAAAACAAGATAGATATGGTTTTAAAGTCCGAAACTTGAGTTGTGATCGGAAAAAAAGTTTACTTCTTAAACTGATGACTGATTGAAATCGAAAAATATTGAAAAATCCCACTTAAATATAACACTTTTGCCACAAAAAATGCATGGTTTTGTCCAGCTTTGAACATTCTGTATTTTACGTAAGTTTATTTTTAGATGTATCATCCCGTTCATTTTCAACGATATGAAATTTCATGCATACTAAAAATTAATTTTGACATAGCAAATAATTCTGGCCTTCAGTAATGAATTTCAGTAAAAGTCATATAATTACAAGCAACAACAAAATATTGAACAAGTATTGATTTTTGAATTTCGACGGTTGGCTGCGGCGGCTGGTGGCTGTGGGTGTAGTCATGAGTATCGGGTATAAAATCACACCTACACCAACACATCCACACCCAAATTAATACTATTGCTGTTGTTTCGTAGTATCTTGCTTTTTTTGTCAATTGTATGACAATACTTGGATTTCAATTAGCACAAGATACTAGTGAAAAATTAATCTTGCGTGAGTCAGAATAATCAACAAATAAAATTATTTTATGTATTCTAAATATTTAGAGATAACCATTCTATTAAGTATTGTTATGTTCAGCCTTCTTATGTCAGAAATTATGTCACCAAGTTCTACTGCTATACCTACCATCATCATATAGTTCATGTGTGTTACGATCATGTCTGCAATTTCAGTTGTTTCATTTCAGAAAATTAATCTAGGTCCGTAAATATATATTTTGCTACTTGGCATGGTTTTTATGTATGAAACGTCCAAACTATGATTTAGCGTGGCGTGGGATTCGTCGCCAATGGGCTAGACACACTGAGAAGCCCAATAATATAAACGGTTCTATCGGCAGTCATCATGCTAGGATTCCATCTGAACCATTGTTAAGCAATAGATTTGAATTATTACCGAACAATATTATAAATGGGAATAGACAGCCATTACCAATTTTAGAGTAGCAAGAAAAGCAACGTTCAGAGTCATTATTGCAATTTACTGTATCGCTAGTGACAAAGATGAAACGTTCTGATCATCATCATCAGAATTTATCGAACGAATTGTATTCATGTAATACCGAGACGATTCATCCTGAGCTACGAATGATTATTTCTCAACTTGCTATTCTTCCTCTTCATGCTCAGCAACATGAGAAATAGGAAAATGAATCTCAAGATTGGAAATTTGTAGCAATAGTCATCTATCGTCTGTGTCTGATTGTGTTCACTGTCTCTATGGCTGTTTTTACTGGGCTCACTTATTTGTATACTTAACTTCCTATGTTACAACGGCAATCGATGGTTTGTTTAACTTGACGTCGAAACAAATTCTATATTTTATTTTGTCTCAAATATCTATTTTCCTCAATAGAATTCTATAGAAAAAATACTGACTATGTATTGCAAAATGTTCAGTCACTGGAATATTGAGTCTAACTGAAAGAATAGTTCGAACGAAGAGCTACATGATCTAATTACGCCATAGTTTCGTTTTAATTTTACCTTACTTAAATGATTTAAGATTTTAAAATCAAATAAACAATTCTCATATATTATAGAAAGTAAAAGAAAAACTAAGAGCTAACTTGAATAAATCGTTAAGAAAGTTATTTAATTATCAATCGTGTAACTAAAAGAATGCGATCTGTTACCTAAAAATATGTTTGAATTAAATATTATTATCTATCTATGCAATAGAGTTTTGCTATTTTCGATTATCATCATGTCTGTTGTAGAAAACATCCCAAACAGATTTGATTGAGACATGTGAAGGTGTATATGCATAATTTGGAAAATCGAAGCCAAATGCTCGAAGACCAACATATTGAAGCGCTTGTGGTGTTGTCATTGGTTCAGGTGCTGGAAGGACTAGTACTGAAACACGGCAACCATATTTGACAATTTCGGTTGCAACTGGCTCAGCAGTGTCTTCTTCAACAAGTGTAATCAAATCGGGTGTACTAGCTGCGATGTCTCCATTATCATAGCGAGCTACAAGATTTTCATTTTGAAAATCGATAATAAGCGTTCGGTCTCCTGTTTCAATAAAAACATGACCTCGAGCAAATCCACCACTAGTATGTCGTTCAACATTAATCACTGTGCCATCGGAAATAAGTATGCGACCCTGTCCAGCACGAGCTACAGCTTGAATAGCATCAATACGATGATTGAATTTGGCTTCACCTAGATCAAAAGATTCCGACTTGAAGAAAAACAACATACTAATGAATATTACTCACCAAGAAACCATGCTCGAGAAAGACTATAGGGCAATATATTTTCTTCTAGTTGTGTACCATGAATTGGAGGAAACGCAACGCCGACACAAAGACCTCGTTTTGTACATTCTTTTCTAAAAACCTCTTCCAATTCTTGTGAACTTGAAATACTTTCGCCAGCAACAATAATTGTCTCACCGCGTACATCACATAAACAAGAAGGTGTTGCAGGTAGACCGTGAATAAAACTCAAGCACTGATTTAGATAAGGGAATGCTCGACCCATAGAATCTCCATCGATACAAAATATATCTTTCTTGGCTGCCACAAGCAACCCGATCATACCATTGGCACCACCGATTTCTCCTGTGAAAATACCGGCAATAGTTGTTGATAGATACTTTTCAAGAACATTGACAGCTTCTAAACATTCGTGACCATTGGGTAGCAATTCATGAGAGACGGTAGGTGCACCCATAAAACCAACATCCACAAATAAATCCGACGACGCAGCAAAGTACGATGGAGGTACTACACGCATTTTATATTTACCTTCGCGAAGCAAATCAAGACACCATAATTTGCAATGATATGATTCACCTCCACCACCACTACCTAAAATATAATCAACGTTGATTTTCAAATAGAAAAGAAATGAACAAACTTACCAAGAATGCCTGTACCATAAGCAATATATTCAATGTCAATGGCATCGATGCACCAAACTCCATTTTCATCGAATGTTGGTCGTTTTTTTGTCAAATCAATATGAATCGGTGGTTTAATAGTAGATGGTGGTTCTTTTTTTATTTTAGGATTGAACTTTTCTCTATGTGTCTCTCGAGCGTTTCGATTGAATTTATCCAAATCGAGTTGTCCCATTGCAGTTAATTGAACTCGATGTTTATACCCACCAGGATGATATGCTAATGGTATTTGTTCTAAGTCAGTTAAATGAATAGTGTTTGATCGAGCTCCATTTTCTTTACATTTTTGACGTACGTCAACAATTAATTGATCAATTACATGTTTACGTTGCTGACCTCCGTCAACAGACGATGGAAGTAGATCGACAATTAGGTCCATGCTTGCACTAATCGAACAAAGAGCAGCACCCACAGCATTACAAACGGCAAAATGATCTGTTCGCACCATCTAAACATATAACAACGAAATAGTCTAATTGAAAATATTCATATTCAACTATTAATACTTGTGTAACGCCTGGAAATGATTGATTAATATCGATAAGAATCGATCCTCCACCACATAAGATCACTGGAACTGGTTCTATATTTGTTTTCATACGTTCGATGTTTCTTGTCACTAACTCTTTGACATAATCGAGAACTTGTTCAACAATAAAACTAGACAGTTTGACAGAACAATGACCAATCTATATTTGAAATTAAATGAAACGATATTTTATTTCTAGCTAAAACTTACTCCTGTAGCTAATCCAGCAGCTAAAGCAATATCAGTTCCAGTGATCGTTTCACCACCAAAAGCCAATGCTTCTTGATCAAGTCGATAGGCTACACTATCTGGTCCAACTTGTACCGTTTGTTCTTTTTCATTGACATGAATTATAGTACCACCACCCAATGGTAGAGAAACAACATCAGCCACGGGAATATTTACTCGAATATCATCAATCAATCGTACATTCTATAATAAATAAGTAGTGCATACAAACTGAACATGAGAATGAGATAGTTACTGTTATTGTTTGTCTTGGTCGTCCGTTTACAATCACTCCAATATCAATGGATGTTCCTCCAACATCAATAACAATGCCATCCTTAATACCACTAAGATGGGCAGCACCAATCATAGAATTGGTAGAACCACTAGCAAAAGTAAAGACAGGCCAACGACTTGAATCCTCTGATGATAATAGAGTACCATCGTTTCTAGTAAGAAAACAGGGTACATCTCCAGGAAGAGCTTCTTGCAACGCTTCAATTGTTTGCTTAGCTAATGGACGAAGGCAAGCATTGAGTATCGAAGCATTCTCACGTTCAGACAAGCCAAGACCGGCAATTTCATGCGAAAGAGTAATATATACTGTAGTAGATTCTTCACGAATAATTTCAGCCACACGTTTTTCTTGATCGTTTCGACAAGGTGAGAAAACACCACAGACACAAAAAGAGCAAATATCAAGAGCCAGCGCTCGACGAATTACTGAACGAATTTCTTCTTCATCCAACGGACTAATTTCTGATCCATCAAAAAAGTAACCCCCAGATACGAACGCTGTTAAACCATCAATCTAAATCATCAACAAAGAAACACAATGAAAACAATAGTGTGAATATTTTTTTTAGTATTTACTGTTTCTTTCAAATCAGTTGGCCAATTAGACATTGGAGATACAGCATGAGTCGTTGGTCCACATATACGTAGTGTACAGACTTTTGCCAATCCTCGTCGTTGAATTAATGCATTGATAAAGTGTGTCGTACCTATCATGATGGCTGCTATTTCCTTATCATTAATGATTTGTTGTAACGCATGAAGCATGCCCGAAAAAACGTCTGAACTTGTCACCGTTTTAGCTGTAGCCACCACTTTCGGAGCTATTTTCAACAAATTATTGAAAAACCGTTACATAAATGAAACACTTACATTCATTGGATTCAATCCGTAGTAATACCGCATCTTTAAAAATTTAAGACAAAATAAAATCTATATCAGAAAAAAATCTCACCTGTATTTGTACCACCAACATCGACACCAACAATATGCATTAGAGTAATTGTGATTTTCTTTCTTTACTTTCACATTTAGTTTGCGCTCGAATCTGTCCTGTTTCATAACACATAAACAAGTTGCTACGAAGCACGTTTTTTTATAGAACAAAAACGAATGCTATCGTTTGAAAGGAAAGATTCATGCGCTTATCTTTACTTTCTACATCGTTGACATAAAAAAATAATTTCATATCTAGGTCTCTATGTGATTTACTATTTTAATCAAGGTTTTAATTATCGTTAAAAAAAAACGAGGAAAATAAGAACAAAATCATTCTACAAACGTATAAACATGAAATCTTTATTCAACGAATGAAAATTGTCATTTTTAAAAATAGCGTGTGAATAAAATAGTTGATTGTCCAGATGCAATCACACCTCGCTTATCTTGGCTTTCTTAATAAATTTTAAATGATAAGTCATCACACAATCGCCGTAGCGTAAATCGAATTTATTTTTTCTTAAATTGCCGCTAAAACAAAAGTTGTACAATAAGTAATCTATTAAGGATATTTTTTGTTTTGTAGTTTCGTTTGTAGTTTATAGAAAAAATTAACTGATCTCACATTTTATCTATCAACTGTTTTTCATAAAAATATTCAATTTAATAAATAAATTTATTCTACTGTTACGTATATACTCTATCTTTACTTTCTCTAGACGTATGTGCCGATTATTGTGACAACACAACTAAGGTGCACTTATAATACTATTACAATGATAATTAAAATTTACGACTATGTACTACTACTGTGGTTCATAGTACTAAGTATCAATGGACCTAGTCGATCATTATGCATGCCATTATTTACGTCCACTCGTTTATATGTGGCTCCATTTTCATCTTCATTTGGTAACAACAGTGATGGTTCGCTTTTAAATCCATACTCATCATTGCAACAAGCTCTTGATCATATCGAACGTAATTATTATCGTGATATAAGTTCATCTCAACGAACAACCATCTATCTATATCCAACTTATCATTTTGTAAACACAATTCGCTTTCATCAAGCTCATAGTCGCACACGACTAACAACTATGAAACAAGAAGATACTGCTTTCTATGAACAATTTACTGCTCGCGAGCAAATTCCTCGACGATTGTCAAGGGCAGTCATTAGTGGTGGAGTACCAATAACTAATTGGACTGATCTCGGCTCTAATGTATATAAAGCAATCGTACCATCAACAATATTGGTCAACCAATTGTTCGTTGACAATCAACGTTTTTCTCGTTCACGTTCACCCACAGATTCATCTCTTTATCTTCAATATGATGCACCATTAAAAGATCCAACTCAAGCACGTTATGGTTTTCAGTATGTTCAAGGAATGTTCGATTCCATTTCATTAGATGATGCCATGGTAGTTGTTTATCATAGTTGGACAACATCACATCATTATATCGATCGACTAATACCATCGAATAGAACCATTTTATTTACTAACCCATCCGATCGGCCTATTGGCACTTTTGTTACTCAAGGAAAACGACGATTTCATATTGAAAATATTTGTAATTCGCTTCCTCAAAACTCATTTTGTTTTAATAATGCAACAAAAACTGTCTATATATCGACAGATGGTACTTACAATCCGATGGATGTCCCGATTATTACGCCGGTAAACGAAATAGTAGTTTTACTTGCCAGTGCTGACGCTAATAGTCCTATTGAGGACATAATTATTGACAATGTTGCAATACAACATGGTGCATGGAATATTGGTCGTACACAACAAGCCGATAGTCAAGCAGCTGCATTTCTCGATTATGCTGCACTGTATATTGCTAATGCAACTGCTATTGTCGTCTCAAATGTTGAAATCAGTCATACTGGTTCGTATGGCGTATGGATTAAAGAAGGAACAAATAATATCAATCTTATGAATTCTTTGATCACTGATACTGGCGCCGGTGGAATACGAATCGGTCAAATGAACATACCTACGCATCCAACTAATTCTATCAAAATTCTATATAATGAAGTTAGTTATGGTGGAAATGTATTTCCAAGTGGTGTGGCTGTGATTAGTCATCGTGCTACCGATGTTACCATTGTTGGTAATAATATTCATCATCATCGATATACGGGTATATCCATTGGATGGGAATGGGGTTATGCTCCATCCTATACTAGCGATGTATTAGTGCAAGGCAATTATATCTATAACACTGGACAACATATTCTATGTGATCAAGGCGGTATTTATACATTGGGTATACAGCCAGGAACAGTTATCACTGGTAATGTTATTAAAAATGTATTTAGCTATGCTATCTACATGTGGGGTATTTATCTCGACGAAGGTACATCACAAGTTGTCGTCTCCAATAATGTTGTATATAATACCGGTTGGGCTTCGTTTTTTCAACATTATGGTGCTAACAATACTATTATCAATAATGTATTTGCACGTGCATCATTGAATCCACCGCCACAACCTGGCGATGATAATCCAGATGGTGATATTCATATTGGTCTTGCAGAAAGTCATACATCATTAACGTTTACACGCAATATCATCTATGATGCATATCAAGGACCAACACATTCTGCATATAAATCCGATCCCAATGTAATTGCATCATTCAATGACAATGTCTATTACAATCCGTATGCTACTTCTTTACTGTTTGGATCACAACAAACTTCATTTGCTGAATGGCAAAAAACTGGACAAGATAATGATAGTTTGATAGTAGATCCATTGTTTCTTGGTGATGTTCAACAATGTGATTTTTTTACCGTTCGATCCAATAGTCCAGCAGCAATGCTAGGCTTTGCAAATATAACAAAACTTTCGCAATGGACACCTGGATGTGATATAGATGGTGAAAGTGGTAACAGACAATTCTATCACTGGTAATTCGAAATTCCATCGAGTTTTTTTCCATTTAATTTCAATATTTTTCGGGTGATGGGCTGAAAAATAGTGGGTGTACTGTTACAATTATCATTATTTACAGTCATGATGTATGTTGTATCTTTATCGGTTTGTTTCACTTTGAATTAGCTTAGCACTTAATTAGTCATATTTTCTAATCGATTCTACTATATTTTATTGATTGATAAATTAAAAAGAAACGCTGTTGCATTCATTTTACTATTCGATGATAAATGAGTGAATCATTAAAATAAAAATACTTTGAAACAAAACGATTTGATTTAGAAATGATAGCGATCAGAAGAAAAAAAATTCCTTTATTAGCATTCCATGTGCATGTTTACATTAAAAAGCAAAGAAAGGTAAAAGTTGCTTGATTATTTTTGTTGTTTCAACATTTACAATTAGAAAAATGATAAATGAATGATTCCTCATCATCGCCGAAAACATTTAGTAACTCAGGTGGTTGCTCACTGCTTGATAAAGCAGTAAATATATATGAAACTATATAAGCATTTGTTTTATTTTATTAGTGAACATAAATAATATTGTAATAATAATGGTAACATTGCGAGTTCTGAAAAGATAAGCATCAGCGAACAGTGAAGGGTTTTTCTTGGATAACATCTAATAGAATGACTTTCTAGAAAAGTATTATTGAATTTTTATAAATTTGACAAAGACTCAGTGAAAGAAAAATGAAAGGATGATCACTAACGCAGTATTAAAATAGAATAAAAAAGAAAAATGTCAAATGATTATCGATTGAAAAAGAAAAATGATGTTCTTCTTTTTGCAAAATACATTGCCATTCAAACTCATAAGAGAGCGTCTCCGATTGTGAAAGTACTTACAGATTCAATACATGTTAACGTGAGAGTTCTAAAAAAGCTACTAAAATATATTTAATAGCCTAGCGCATGCACGTGGAAATGTTAGCTATGCCTTGATGTCTTAGTTAAAGAATAAGAAGAATAAATTCGTATAATTTTCATCATGCAACATATAGTCTTGATATCCTTAATATGCATGTTTGGTTGAGATAAATAATTCTTTTGTCTGAATAAATCATTTTTACAGAATCCTTGAGGAGCCGGGCCAGCGAAGAGATACCTTATTGTGTGTCGATGTGTCTGGCAGGAGTTTCTTATCCAACAAAGTCAAGGAACGAGTACTAAATGTGTATTCATTTAATCATGTTCCACACTTTCTACTACTACCAATTCAATTTGCAATCCTCGCTCGTATTGTTTATTAATAATAATTTACTAATTCAAAAACAAAATCCATTGGCTTTAATGAGAAACATTGAATAGCATGTATCGATCGATAATCTATAGTAATACGTATTAAAAGATGTCAATGAATGCATGGAATTAGACACTGATACGAATGGATGTGATCAATATTTGAACTTGTGTTGGTTTAATTTTCTGTTCAGATTATCTCAAAGTCATCTAGATTTTTTTGCATTACATAAAAAATTAATGTGGTTAACTATTGAGATCGAAACATATCGGTTAAAAAACATAATTTACCAGTGAATCATTGTTTTTTGTTTATATATCTTACTGATTGAAAGAGAAACTGTGAACATTGATTTTTGATTTTAATAATTTCTAAATGAAAAGGATTTATCAATTTTTCTTTTTATCTCGAAGTAAAGATGCGAGTCTATAGACAATAGTAGCTGCAGCTGCACTGGCTATGTTCGATTAATCGTATGCATACGGTGGAGATACTTCAACAATATCCATTCCTACATAATTGATTGATCGTAAACGGCGAAGAATAGCAATTATCTGTGCCATAGTAAGACCTCTACATACAAGAGTACCCGTTACAGAAGAAAATACTGGATCAAGACAATCAATATCGAATGTCAAATAAGTTAGATTGTTACCAACTCGATTTCGAATTTCTTCTACCATATGTTCAGTAGAATTTTGATGTATCCATGCGGCGTCTGAAATTTTTGCGCCCATAAAACCATCATTAAAAGTACGAATTACAATTTCAATTCGCGTTTGAGGATCGATGAAATCTTCACGAACAGCATAATAGAACATGAAGCCATGATTTTTAATTATGTAGTTTTTCATCTGATCATCTATCACAGTATGCATTGAATTGAATAAGAGATAACGATTTACCATGATATGCAACATGTGCTTTTAATGAGGGATACGTTGAATAGTGATCACCACCTATGAATAAAAGTTTCATTATAATCTAAATTTTTTGTCTTCAAATGAATATACTAGCCAAGTGAGAGAAGAAATACATTGTGATCAATAATTTGTCGTGTATGGTTCTCAATAGCGACTGGTATTGTTTGAGGTTAACTGAGATCCAACTAATAATCATCATAATCAATAACCGTAAGATCGGCAAAAACCAATACCATCAGAATAGGATTTTCATTTTGCTACTTGTGCAGATACCTCTCGAATGCCCTGCGGTTTAAATCGAGTACCCTGCCGATAAGTTGTTGCAAAATGAAGAGGAATACTAGTAACAGCTGCATCGACGTGACTCAAGTCGCGTGTATAATTGCGTCGAAGAAATGATAGAGGACCAGTATAAGTTTTTTCTATCATAGAACGAAGTGGATACTTCGTGAAATGGCACTATCACTGCAGATCTCAGAGTCTCCCTCGAGGATCGATCAACTCCACTTTGTTGGGCTGAATGAACAAGAACTGCATAACGTGTTCGGTAAAGTACGTCTGAAAATTGCGCTCCGCACGGTTGTATCGCAAGAATGGTAATGCCCAACAAGAATCAAAATAAATTTTGTGGCTTGTTTTTATCAACAAGTAACGTTCATCGACATCGAAAGTCAATTCACTGGGCCCTAGACTGACAGTGCTGAGGAGAAGAAATGCATGGACAGGACAGAAAATCCGTTGTTTGTGCCAGTAGCTGTTGGCGATATTTTTAAACAGATCTGTAAACGGGGTGGGAATAAGTGAAACTGAAGTAAGAATTAGACGAAAATTAAAGGTTTCAAGTAAAAGCACTAAAAGGGAAGACGAAAACGGACAGAATGGTACTCAAAAGCGCATAAATAGGCGGAGAGGTTGAGTGTTACCTAGCCAAAAAATACAGTCCGGAATTTTCGTGATGGTAAGCTCAAAGTTCCGTAGGGGGATCAGCTCACCCCTCCACTCAAGACATATCCAGAGCGGACTGTTTTCCGTGACCATGTCATGCAGCCGCCTATGGTTTCTGCCGTATCAATGCCCTGGGGGCCATCAAAATGGTCATTTGAACCATAGAAATGGCCATTTTGTACCGTTCCAATGGTCATTTGTACCATAGAAATGGTCACTCGTACCACAGAAAAGGTTATCCGTGCCATAGAAATGGTCATTTCTGCCATAGAATTGGTCATTTGTGCCATAGACATGGTCATTTGTGCCACAGGAATGGTCATTTGTGTCATTGTTACAGACAGACACAGGTGAATTACGGTTTCTAGACCCTATCCTTTCAGTCTAGGGAATAAAATCTTGTTTAATTTGTTCACAAAACAATCCGCTACGAAAAAAACCACCTGGTGCTTTGAAACCAATAAAACCTCCAGATGGAATATGGCAATTACTTACAATGGATTTTCACGGACCGATCACACCAACAACGAAGAATGGAAATAAATACATTATTTCATTGACCGATGTATTATCAAAATTTATAATTACAAAAGCAGTCCGTGATTGCACTGCTACCACTGCAGCACGATTTTTAATTGATGAAGTTATTCTTAAATATGGTACTCCTAAATGTATTCTTACTGATAATGGTACACATTTTACAGCTAAAATGATGACGGAATTATTCAAACAAATTGGAATTACTCATCTATACTCGACACCTTATCATCCCATGACAAATGGACAGATAGAAAGATTTAATGCAACAATGGATGCAAAAATAGCTGCATTATCAAATGAAAAGCGAACGAACTGGGATGAACAATTACCATTCGTTACATTCAATTACAGCACCACTATACATCGCACAACTAATCAAATCCCATTCGAATTAATATATGGTCGTAAGCCAATTTTACCGTTTGATCAACAACAACCATTAGTTACCTTATCACAAGATCCAGAACACAAGACAAAATTAAATCAACATTTATCTGTATTAACCGAACAAGCGAAAACCAAGATTTTAGAACAACAACGCAAATATAAAGAACGTTATGATCGATTTCGAACAAACCCCACTTATAAAATCAATGATATTATTCTTATTAAAACATTAAACAAAAGAAACAAATTCGACATCAGATATGAAGGACCGTTTAAGATTACACAGCAACTCGGGAAAAAAACATTTATCGTACAACATATTAAGAAGCATACATTAGTTCGGCAAGTTACAATAGATGTCATCATTCCGTTATACGAACGAAAAAGTATGGATTAGGTATAGATTGGATTAGTAACGTATACTAAATATAGTAAATCATTAGTTATCGGTGCCAGACGTATACGCATCACCACCTTCTTAGTCTTTGTCTTTCCTGTCCTTTAATTTTTTTTTCTTCTCGTTCTCACATTTCGTTTTATCTATATATGTTACGCGAGCACTTTATTTTTTTCAGTTCTGCTATATGATTTCCCTTGTTTTCCCTTTTCTCCGTCTCGTTAGTATATATGCATATACGTATATAAGTTCAGTTCAATCGTCTAATAGTTGCGGTGCAAAGTAAATTCATAAGAGGTTAAACACAGATATTTCATAATGATGTTCTCTATAGGAAAAAAATGAATATTATACAGATTCATGAGAGAACAGATGATTATAAGAGGATCATTGATGTGATTCCTGCATATAATGTTCTTTATTTCAGATATACCCGATCTGCATTATTCCACAACTATTTACTCGCGTATCATAATATATATATATATACAGGGAGAGTTCATTTTTTTGTTTTTGTTTTTTCGTTTTTTTTTCTTAATAACTAGCACATAGAGATGAACTTTTCTCGGAAAAGTTTATGTTCAGCACAAGTCCGACATCGTTATGTACCACCATATGAACGATTATTACGAAGAAATCAGGCATGGAAGTCAAAGAAGGTGAAGCTGGAAGAGGAATTACAGGAAGCATGTCGGCAAGGTACTTTAATACCATTTCAACAACCAAAAAATTATCAATGTTATTATATACATGAACGAACCGATATGTTAATAATCGATGAATTAATTGATCAAGCAAAAATTACCAAACATTATTCAATAGACACCGAAGATGATGCACTCACACATAAACCAGCAACACTACAGGTGGAATATATTCATCATGATTTATCATCAATAATAATTATTATTGAAGTGCAATATTTACCATCACTCACAAGTCCATTATTTAAAAAAATACAACAGTTATGTACCATCATATTTACATCGAACAATTACATTTACTCATGGGGTTCAGCATTACAAGAACTTAGTAAATTTCAACCGTTTCAATTATTTAATACCAATATTACAATCACCGAAAAAGATATACAATATTTATATGATCGCCATGAAAAACAATTATTACAAATGACTATTAAATATGAATTTCAAGAATATTTAAACAAAATAGCAACATTAGCTGAATGGGCATGTGGTGTTGATTTAATGCTGGGTACTTATTTACCCTTAGATATAATTGGTCGTGAACGTACATATCGTTTACATGAAGAGAAGAAATATCGATCAATATTACAAGAATATGCAATTAATGATGTATTTGCAGTTACAAAATTAGCATATAAAATGAATTTAATTAAATTTACAACATTACCATCAACAATTCAATATGAAGAAATATCCGATGATGAAGATGAATTACAAATGCAATCAGAATTATCAATCAATATCGAACCACAATATGAAGAACTAATAGTTCATGTTACAGATGAACTAGAAGAAAATGAATTATTTCAACAACAAGAAGATATCGAAGTTTTTCAACCAAATCAACAGATAAGTATAATTAATCCAATGAAAAATTTCCATCATATTTTAGGAATTGATGAAAATTATCCGGCCAATGAACATTTTGAATTACATTATCATAATGCGTCATCTATGCCACAAAATATCCTGAATATCGAACGCGACAATGATATGGACTTGCAATCGTTAACTGAAATTATGAAACTTCATTATTCACATGAACCTGGCCATTTATCAATGCCACAACATCAAACACAACAATTATCATCTCGTACGGTGACCGTTCATGTAATAGATGAACCTCAGGTAAGCAATTTAAATCATTTAGGTTCAACAACAGAAACAACATCGACATTAACACTCAAACAAATCCGCAATCGAAAAATCAATCGGCGACATCGCGCAAATCGATACTGTTATGAAGTTATCCGACACGTTTACAAGCATTTCAACATTAGAAAAATCAAGAGAATATTAAAATCCATGGACATTTATTATGTTAACATTAATATGGTTCGACATACATTATTTATCGGCCTAAAGAATCAAAAATTAGTCAATGAAGTGGAAAAATTATTACACGATCGACTCTTTACCGAACGACAGTATCATCGATTATATCGGTAAGAAAAAACTATTTCGTCTCATTTGTGTGTGTGTGTTGAACACGCGTTGTTATTATTTTGTTTTGTTTTTGTGTGCGGACACACATTTTTTGTTTTGGGGGGTCGACTGTTAGCGGCTAGCCCTTGTTATGTTTTTCTTTCTTTTCTTTGATCTGAACTATCTCAGGTCATTCTTTATTTTGCCCTTATATTTCTATTTTTTTCTATACCCTCGATATCTATATATATATAAATATATATATCGATGGTTTTTTCTCTCTTCTAGTTAGTTAGATGTGTGTGCGCGTATGTATGATTTAGTGTTTGTTTTCTATTTGAAATAAACAAANGTTAGTTAGGTGTGTGTGCGCGTATGTATCATTTAGTGTTTGTTTCTATTTGAAAAAAACAAAAGAAATCGAACATAAAGCTCTTTTTTCTCCCTACCCGCTAATACTAGGTCAATTCGTCGCGAGACAATTCGTCGCGGACAATTCGTTGCAGACAATTCGTCGCACAGACAATTCGTCGTCGGACAATTCGTCGCGTGGATAATTCGTCGCAAGACAATTGGTCGCAATGTAACTTAATGAAAATGAATATGACGTGTTGCTTGATGTAATTGAATCAAGTAGACTATGTTCAATTAATTGAATAAGCC